GGAGAAGGGCAGCCCTCAGCGCCCGCCCGGCGTGGGGAAGGTCTCGGGTCTCTTTTCCCGCTCCGTTCCCCTTTCACGGCCCAGGACGCCCTTTGAGCCCCTGGTCCCCTCTCTGCCCACGGCTTTGGCCGGGATTGGCAGCCCCGGGCCGAGCTGAGGCGGCGCTCCCGGGCCCAGAGGCAGGGCCAGCAAGGCCTGAGGGAACCCCTCGTCAGACCCCAGTCCCTCTGTGCTGCCCTTCACGGTGCGCCAGTGTCCCCCAGAAAATGCACTGGATGGTGATAGGATGGAGATAAGAGTGACCTTACAAACAGGGATGCAGCTCAGGAGAACCAGCCAGAACTTGGAGTACCGGGGAAGTTGCCTGAAACCTCGAAAGTTGGGTACAGCATGAACTTTTTAACTTTTTGAGTTTATTACGCCTGCTTAATAAACTTATGAATATTTTCCTCTCCACTTCTGGGCGGCATAAAATTAGAGTTAATGATACAGGCAATGTATGATATGTATGATGCGAGGTGGGGGGTATGTGTTAGAGGAAAAGTGTAAAAGGCGGGCTGGGGGGTCCGTACCTTCTGAGTACCTCAGTCAATGGGGAAGGGAGAAGGGTCATATGAGGCCGGGGAGTCAGGATAAGAGGAGGCTGTGTCCTCTGGCAACGCTGAGAGACCCCACAGGGATATGTCCCAGTGGACTCTCCCTTTATTCGAATAAAGTCAACTATTTCCAGGACTCCTCTGTCTCCTTTGTGAACACTGACCTCTGGCAATGAGACTTTCCGTACAATGTGGAAAGGAAAATACTACAGAGGTTTATCTCTTTTGGATAAAAAGAAGAAATAAGCTTACTAGAATTAAAGCACCTCTCCTATGAAGACAGGCTGAAGGAGTTGGGGTTGTTCAGCCAGTAGAAGAAAAGGCTCTGGGGCGACCTTATAGCAGCCTTCCAATATCTGAAGGGGCTACAGTAGAGCTGGGGAGGGACTCTTCATCAGGGAGTGTAGTGATAGGACAAGGGGTGATGGTTTTAAATTGGAAGAGGGAAGATTTAGATGAGATATTAGGAAAACATTCTTTACTCCGAGGGTGGTGAGACACTGGAACAGGCTGCTCAGAGAAGCTGTGGCTGCCCCATCCCTGGAGGGGTTCAAGGCCAGGCGGGATGGGGCTTTGAGCAACCTGGTCTGGTGGGAGGTGTCCCTGCACATGTGCCTGCCCATGGGGGAGCTAGGGTATCTCTAAGGTCCCTTGCAACCCAAACCATTCTATGATTCTATGCCATAAGTAAAAGAAAGAATGCTTGGGAGTTTGAAGGCCATTCAGCAGGTTACCAAAGACTTGCTACTCTTACTATGCTGAATTTTCTGGAAAGGAACAGTAGAGGAAAGGTATGGAGAAGCCATACGTGTGCAATTCCAGTCACACACATTGGAGGTATGGCTCAAAATACCCATTTCTCCTGGTGCTCTGCCGCTTACAAGGAGCAGGGGGTTGAATTCCTCAGGTCCATAATCATGTTGGCCATATTTTTTCCATATTTCATTCCAATCCTGTTTCTTCCTCCTGGGCAATCAGCTTGCTTCTCAGGTAATGAATATTAGCAATCGTTTGCCCTTTATCTCTGCAAAAGAGTGAAAGCTTTTGGAGGCGTGCCCACAGTTCAGAAGTTTTAAGTATCAGAAAACACGAGGAGTTTAAATGGAGCGAGAGAACTCAGGATAACATTTTTTCTAATAGGAAAAGATTAATTTAAAACATACAGAAATATGAGCTGTCAGACAGAAATGTTGTTTCTGTAGAATTACAATGTTTAATCTCCATGTGTTATGACTTTAAGTATCCTTTGTCCTTAAATGTTCACTTAGATACCTTTTTATATTTTCCCTCCTACGCTTCTCCTAAGATAAATGATCCCAGTCTCCTTAATCTCCTTTCTTGTGAGTTTTCTTCATCTTCTTTGCTTGGTTTTTTTGTCCCTCATAATTCTGCAATTTCAGTCAGTTTTGAGCCAGGATGACCAGAAATATAGAGCTTATCCTAAATGAGACTATTTCTTAGCTTTATAGAACTGTACTTAAATATTCTCTATATTGTTGTCATTATTCTGTGTCTTATTTATTCTATTGGCTTGACTTTTGTGATCACAACTTTACACAACAAATCATCATCATAAGAAACTGTATGAATCCTCTAAACCCCATTATAATGTTTACACTTCAAATTTCGCTGCATTTATCCAATTTTATTTTATTTTCTGGTACCGTGTTTTCCCATTCATTTACCTTCCACACTTCCTGAGTTCTTGCTGTCTCTCTGATCCTGATTGACCTACCTGTCTGTCCTCTAATATCTGTAGGGTTTCTACTTGTTCCTATCTTCAGTTCATAAGTAAATGATTCAGCAGAGTCCGAAACTCAGACTATCAGAGCAGAAAGAGGCATTTCAGATATTCATACGGACTGCAGGCTTAATTTTCATATAACTGGTGAAATAGTACCACAGGTGACTAACCCCTGCAAAACAGTATCTAAACAGAATATTGAGGTGATCTGTCATTAAACTTTTGCCCTTAAGAAAAAAGTAGGTCTGCATTATGTCACGGAATCACAGAATTGTCACGAGTTGGAAGGGACCTTCTAGAGATCATCCAGTCCAACTCCCCTGCCAAAGCAGGGTTGCCCAGAGCACATCACTCAGGACTTCATCCAGGCGGGGCTTGAAGATCTCCAGAGAAGGGGACTCCACACCCTCCCTGGGCAGCCTCTTCCAGGGCTCTGCCACCCTCACCCCAAAGAAGGTCTTCCTCAGATTGGAGTGGAACTTCCCATGTTCCAGCTTGTGCCCGTTGCCCCTCGTCCTGTCACTGGGAACCACTGAAAAGAGTCTGGCTCCATCCTCCCTCAAACTGCCCTTTAGATACTTGTCAGCATTAATAAGGTCTCCCCTCAGCCTTCTCTTTTCCAGGCTAAAGAGCCCCAGCTCTATCAGCCTTTCCTCACAAGGGAGATGCTCCAATCCCTCCGTCATCTCTGTTGCCCTACGCTGGACACTCTCCAGCAGTTCCCTGTCCCTCTTGAACTTCCAAGAAAACATTAGCATATTCATTATGTTTCTGAGAATTCATTTACATATTCTAATAAGCTTTTGGGCTTGCATAGTTGTGCCTTCTGGTGGTCCTCATTTTGAGTGAGGGTCGTTTCTTCCCCAGTCTTCATCTCTGTCACCTGGCCTTTGGCTCACTTTTCATGTTGGCAAAACATTCTAACTGCCTGATTGCTCATTAAAACTAATGATCTCCCTGTTTGTCAGACAACGTCCGTATTTGATGTGGTGCTGGGAGGTATGGTTTAGTGATGATGCTCCTTGTTTGTTGTGTGGGTGTCTATTTTTGTCAGTTAGGTTGACGGTTGGACAAGATGATCTTTAAGGTCCCTTCCAACCTAGAAGATTCTGTGATTCTGTGATTTATTGCACCCCTGTCTTAGGTCACCATGTTCTCAGGGCTACAGACATCCTTTTTTGTCTTACTAAGCCCATGAAACCATTTGGGATGGTTGATAGAGTAGCTACACTTCTCCTCTAAAAGAAGATTCTCTACAGTTTAACCATTTGTAAACTACAGAAGATCCACCCTAGGTATCGGTTATTTAGGGTCCTTCAAAGAGAAACGAGAAGTTTGTTTGGAATAAAAGGAAATAATCCCACGAAGTCGAGTAATTGACTGTCGGCTGAACATGAGCCAGCAGTGTGCCCAGGTGGCCAAGAAGACCACCAGCATCCTGGGCTGTGTCAGGAACAGCGTGGCGAGTAGGACTCGGGAGGTGATCGTCCCCCTGTACTGGGCACTGGTGAGGCCTCACCTTGAGTACTGTGTCCAGTTTCGGCCCCCTACCATAAAAAAGACATTGAGGGGCTGGAGTGGGTCCAGAGAAGGGCAACAAAGCTGGTGAGGGGTCTGGAGCACAAGTCTTATGAGGAGAGGCTGAGGGAGCTGGGGTTATTCAGCCTGGAGAAGAGGAGGCTGAGGGGAGACCTTATTGCTCTCTACAACTCCCTGAAAGGAGGGTGTAGAGAGGTGGGGGTCGGTCTCTTCTCCCAAGTCACAGGCGACGGGATGAGAGGAAATGGCCTCAAGTTACACCAGGGGAGGTTCAGGCTGGATATTAGGAAAAACTTTTTTCACCGAAAGGGTTATCAGGCATTGGAATGGGCTGCCCAGGGAGGTGGTTGAGGCACCATCCCTGGAGGTGTTCAAAAGGCGGGTTGATGTAGTGCTGGGAGGTATGGCCGAGTGATGGTGTTGCTTTTTGTTTGTTGTGTGGGTGTTTATTTTTGTCAAAATTAAGTTGACGGTTGGACAAGATGATCTTTAAGGTCCCTTCCAACCTAGAAGATTCTGTGATTCTGTGAAGCACATGAACCCAACCGGGCGCTATCTGTCCCTGGCAGCTGGAAGCCGAGGCCCCGGGGCGGCGGCAATGGCCGGGCGAGGCGCCCCTGGGGCTGGGGCGGCCGGCGGGGCCCCGGTTTTGTGCTGCTGCTGCGGCGTCGGCTTCGCTGGTTTCCCGACCTCTGCAGCTCACACCGGGGACCGCAGGCCGGCCCCACCGCCTCCCGCCCCGGGGCGGGCCGCGGAGCAGGCGCACAGCCCGGCAGCTCCGGCCCCACCGGCGGGGAAAGATGGCGGCGGCGGTGGTGGCGGTGCGGCTGGGCCAGCGCGGTGTCCCTGGCGGTGCCTCGGCCTTCTTCTCCTGCACCGGGCGGGTAAGGCGCTCCCTGTCCCGGTGGGACCGAGGGTGGC